TTAGCTGTTTGAAAACTGATGGTGGAGGCGTTGTATCTCGTGAACGAGCGGTTGGTACTTGTTGCTGAAATAACAGTTTGACTAACAGGTGGACGTTCGCTGTTACAAGCGCGAAAAATTCTGTGGAAAGAATAGAAGAACGAAATTTGAAGCAGAATTTATTTAAGACATCGCTAAGACTGACATTAGCTTCACGGTCGTCTTCCAGAACATCATCAATAATTCCATTTTCCTCTTTGAACTTCGCAAGATCGATCATCTTTTGGTCGAGAGTTTCGTGGAAATCTTTGTGTAATTTTCCGGAGTGTAAATCCAAAACAAACTAAAATGGCTGCAATATATCTACGTATTACAAGCAAATTGGTATAATGAAGTTTCACAAAAATTGTCACATAAAAATGAATTATTCTCAAATCTCAAGTTGTAATCACACTCACCTCTCTCAATTTACCAGGCACTGTGAGCTGCGACATATCGGGGAAGACGTACATGTGTTGGAATGAGTCAATGGCGAGAACAGGAAGATCCTGTAACTTACGACAGTTGTGTTAGTGCCACCTGATCTATGTATAGTCTGCAAAGGTATGCATTACCTGATTCCTCTTTCTATCGTTTGAACCATTTTCAAAAGGTTATTACTTCCTCTCTAAATGTATTGCTCGCTTTTCTCTCAAAATTTACAGTTTCATCGAGGCTGCAGGAAGTTTTCGCGTGTCGAATTACGATGTCAAAGTTCATTCTTTTGGAAAAGTCTTTCAAGATGAAAAGGACCCCGACGTTTTCAACTCAGCTAAGAGTAGATCAGTACAGGAATTATCAAACTAGGTGTAAGGAAGCAAATCTCCCTTTGATCAGGTGCACTCGGCCGAGCTGGCCTTAGGACTTCAAAAACAGCAATGATTTGCCTGGTAATACTTCTAATTTGGTATCCCGCCATGTATTGCTCGGGTCCACGAAATTGGGCCTTGAACTAAACTATGAAGGAAAGTTTCGGTTATGAGATGGCGGAAACGTCGGTTTTACCGTACGCCTAGGCACTTCTCATCTGATCACTTATGAAATCCTAACCCCGTGTCTAACGATTCTTTCCTTTAACATTTCACATTAAATAATGCTGGTTCTATCGACTGCTACTCACCAACTGGTAGAGCTGATAATGGTGAACTGGACGAGTTTTACAGCAAGTTAGAGAAATTAATTCGCAACGAAAAGTTCTACAAATTTGTCTTCGGATATTTCAATGCCAGATTAGGAACAGCGAGCGGAATAATAACAGCATAGGAAAATTTGGAATGGAGATGGAAATCAAAGCGAAGACTGACTCGTAAAACACCTCTCCGCAGCAAGTATCTTCCAAGGAAATTCATTCCTTGAAGAAAGAGGAAATTTTTATGTTTTTCTGGAATTTTTTCAGCGCTACGACCTATATGGAGACTGATCATATTTTCACAACATAAGTGATGCCTCTTTGACACATTAGCGGTACGTAAATTCTGTATTGAATCCCATCATCGCTTTCAGTGTGCAAAGATTTAAATCACAAGATCAAAAGGAACTCATTGTTATGGTTCGTCAAGATAAAATATGTCGTGTCCGGCGAGAATGTTCACGATAAAGCCCTTCCTTATAAGATCGCTATATAAGAAAAGACCAGGTCTAAAACTATCTATTCTTGTTGATGGACACAAAACTTGTCCTTTACTAACAGCTCTACAAATGCGAAGTATGATCGTGTCTCTATTGCCACTAAGAAGTTGCTTGAAAAGAAAAAGGAACTAGATCCTGATTTTACCGCAAGCTACCTAACGCGGCTGATAGTTAATGTTATCTGTAGAAAATCTTCGCCGAAGTTTTTACGACGGTGTAAAAAGACAAAGTACATAGGTAATCCAGAGGCAGTCCAGTATCGCTATGGCCCAGACAGAAGCTGTCGAGATTATCAAAACCATTCAACACATCCTTTCATAATATAAACTTTGCAACGGAAAAGTTTCATTCCACTCTCTTCAGATCATAATCTCCGTCTCGAAACCCGAAATCTTTGCTAGAGAAAAATTGCCTAATATTTAATACTCTCAAGTTCGAGTCGCAATAGAAACCATGAACTGAAGGCATAGCCCCAGGATCAGCTAATATTAGTGCCAAAGCAAAAAGATAAATAATTCAGTTTACACACATCCGCACAAATTCGTTTCATCTATGAAGGTCGAATATGGAAATCTTCGTGACTGCTATCCATTGAAAATAGAGTGTGTTTTACAAGTTGTTCACAAATACTGTTCCTACGCCCATATCAAAGATAGCAGATGAAGCACAGTCAATAAATCAAGCACGTTTTTGAGAGGGATTCTGCTGCATGGAAGCAAATGACATCTTAACCCTTCTAAATAGGTACCAGTAAAGAAGAGGCGGTATTCAAAGAACTCAACGAAGTGAGAAAAAAGATGTGTTTATTCATAAGTGGGACGAAGACTTAGTGCATAAAGAATGTATGGTGCAAAGGCAAATAAGTCAAACTGAATGGCTCTCTACTTGCAGAGGCCACTTTATACCCTCTACTTCAAGAGCTTGAAGAGCGCGAGATCAATATGAAGGAGTAATTAAGCAGAAAGACAAGAGCAGCATGAGCTGCATGCTGGTCAATCAAGGAAACCTTCGATCAACTAACAAACCCAAAACTCCAGGCCACTTTTTTCATTCACCAGTCTTCAGCGTTCTCTTGAGCAGCAGAAAGTGAGCTGATACATTATTTATGTCAAAAAAATCTGCGCACTCGATTTAGTGCCCTACAAGCAATCGATATGAGTTCTCTGACCTTTACTCGCCACCCACAACTTCTAGCCAATTTGCGCAGCTCTGATGAGAACTAACTCAACTTTGGGATATGAGAGCGCTCACATCAATAGCACACGCAGATGGGGTCGTCAGATAATGAGAAGAGTAAATGACAGATAGACGGAAAGTGTAGTGGAGTGAGCTCCAACGGAATGCAAACGTTTTTTTTTTGGATAACTCCTAAGACGATTGGAGGACTTGTTCGTAGCTAGCGTCAACCATGTGTTCGTAGATAATAGCGATTCTAAAAGCACGCAAAGGAGCTTGCAGACATGACCATTCTTGAAGTAAACCACTCCATGGACGATGAATTTGCGAGAGAGAAGAAAGTGTGAGTTATGGAGGGATCATACTACCTGAGAAGGTGGGCAATCCAAGTACTTAAATAAGGAATATGGTCTGCTTCAGGAGAAAACTCTACCTTCATGGTTTTTCCAAGATGCTTGAGTGGATGAGCAAACTTGTATCCATCTGCCAGTAGCGGATTTACAGCCGCCCTTTGATCGTACAATTCTCGAACCACCTGAACAAAAATTCTCAAAGCAAATAGTCTTTTCAAAAATTATCCCACAGTTTTGCGATTGTATATAAAGGATATTTGCGAAAGTGGAACTGTTGCCTGCGCTTTCAGTTATACCGGAAGAACATCCGAACCGAAGATAGATTTAACTTCCAATGTGTTTGCAAGTTTACAGAAGCATAGACGAGTATCCAAACGTTCAAGCATTCAAAAGGAGATATTTATCCCAGGAAGAATGTCAAGCATAGAGAGTTGTGATTTCAAAGCTAAAATCTGAGAAATTACTATACGCCTTATAGTATTCGCAAAAACCAGTCAAAATCGAATATTTCTTTTGCCTTCTAATCGACTGTTTTCTCAAACCTCATTTATAACCTTCGATATGTATTTTAAAGACATTTTAGCTTTATAAAGGTTTGTTATGCCAGCGGCTTATGTACGCTTCGACGACCTCGCTTATCTCGTCAACGTCAACCTCTCCCCCGCCTCCTCCACTTCCCAAGCCGTTACATAGCACTGAAAGAAAGAGAATGATACGACGCGGTAAAGTGGAACTATAAATTTACATATATTTTATATCAAAGTTTAGAAACAAAGTTTCAAAAAACGGTCGATCGAAAGGCAATTTCTAATTAACTGATCAATGACAGCCGCGTATCATCTATTGTTAAAAAATTCAGGCAGGATTTCACTTTGCTAGGACTTATCATTCTGTGTCTCCCCTTCCCTAATACGTAGGGGTAGCTGGTGAGGGATTGGGGCTCTGACGAGCCGGGCGAGGTCACCGAAATGCACATGAGCAATGACATAGTAAACCTCGAACAGGCTTAAATAAGTCCTCAAAACGAAATCTAAGAGTTCTCTTTGATCTTTAAGAAAGCTCAGATAGTAGTATTTGGCTTTTGTTTTTACATTACGTAACATCATTATTGTGCGAATTTCACTCCTTACCTCTCGATTCGTTTTCTAACATCCATAATCCACGAAAGCCCTGTACCTGCATGTGCAGCCACGACTCAAGGAAGGTTTTCTTCATGAAAGTTGTTGAACTCATGTAGACTCAATTACGCCTCGTTCCTTGCATAGGCGCCCTCACTTACTCATCGCACGCTGTCGTCAACTTTCGTTAATCGAAAAGGACCCTTTCCGTACACGTGTGGTGCAAAATTTCTAGTCTTTAAGAATGGAAAGCTTGGTTCATTAGACAATGGCTCACAAATAGTCATTGGGTTTGTTGAAAAGCAGCTCTGCCATTCCGCTACCCGCGCTCCTTTTTGCATTTAAGAGGGCAAAAAATATAACGAAGCCAAACCTGTTCAGTGAAAATTTTATCTCCTTCCTTGTTTTTTTGGATCCCGGAAGTATAACAAGAACGGTAGCCCTTCCTCGGTCAGCTCTTCTACATTCTCGAATGTCACCTCTCTAAACTTCCTTTTCTATGATCAAATGTTGATTGCAATTTATTTCATACTATGTAGTCCGTAATTATCACCAGACGATCCTTTTTTGCCTCATTATCCCAGTACTTCTAACTAGGAAATATCTTACTATTGAGAACAACCGGAATTAATTTATTTGATCGCCTCTTGCGGTGGTATGGTCCTTATAATATACCCAATAATGTCGAGTGCTATGCAAATACATTTGCGTCAGCCGGGATTCGAACCCAGATTTCACTCATTTCCGGGAGCGCGTGCTAGACCGTTGCTTTACCGACGCTTTTCCTGGTGCGTGCGAGTGAGATCTGGGTTCGAATCCCGGCTGACGCAAATGTATTTGCACAGCACTCTACATTATTGGTTATATTGAGAGCAAAGTCAAATAAATTGTGTCAGTTAAATCACTCACCTCACTAGTGGAATACATTTATCTGTCACCCATTGCTTGAGAAATTCGTAATCGTGAAAATCGCCAGAGAACTATAGAAAGGAACTGTTGAAAAACATTTCAACGAAAGAATGTTTGAACTATTATCTATTCCTGTCTGAACTGACGAAAACATCTAATCAGAATATCATTTCAAAATGATATTTATTCTTTAACTGACTTGCTGCCTCCTGCTGGGTATCCGGATCGATGAAGTATAAACGGTCTTCACTTAGAGCTGTCGACGGAGCTTCTGCCATCACCCAAAAGTTGCAGTCTTCTCGAAGTAAGGAGGCGATTTTCTAAAGTAACTTGTTCACTGGTGATCGTCTTCCTAAACGGATGGCCATGATATTCTATAACCCAGTGTGTTTCTATTTTACACTCACTGGACGCTACTAAAGATACTAGAATACTTGTGCTAAAAAATTCCTAAAACCTAAAGGTTCCAAAAGTTCTGAAGGCTATACATTACATATGAATATGTAAGAAGGAGAGTCAAGCTAGATTCGAGTGCAAAATCAAGTGAAAAACTAAACGGAAAATGTAGTTATTGAGAGATCGAATTAATCAGTTTAAGATCGGTTCTTTTCTGTCACACCAGACGGGATGAAGAAACGACCCCTTTTGCTGAACAAAAATTTTGCGTTACACTTTTGTTACTCATTCGAAAGCTCAAATCTCTGGCTACTGTGCTTTTTCTCCTTTTTCTAAAGCCTTTTCATAACGCTGCAATAGAGAGAAAAACATCTGTGGTTCACACAGACATATTTCTCGCTGAGCAAACCTATTTTTTGGTATTATGAGTAACTATTCGACAGCGTAGTCTCCACAACTTCAAGGTTGTGGTTATCTTCGGGAAATACTGTTTCATTGCAGTGTAGCAAGGGAAATAAGATTGAGTTCCACTTATATGGCTCACTTATTCATCGACTAATGTGTGGTAAGGGCATCTGTATAAAGTACAAGACCCCACCTTCACGTTTGAGTACACGTCATCACCACGCTTCACCAATGCCACTATATTTCTCTTTGAGCGATCGATTGTCGAGTTGAGCTGCTCCTCACTAGTGAACTCGTTAATGGCAGTGGACAACTGATATTTGACAAAATTGGTCAACGCCTCAACCGATCTCGTCGACCTGAAAGCGCTCAGTGAACTCGAAGAGAAAATCTCCAGAGTGTTTTAGATTTGAGCTTTGGAGATTTTCACGAGATATAAAACGAAAGTTCATCGCCATTTCTTGTCTCGACTAAAGAGTTTCTTCCTTTCTGGACAATGTGTGCACTTTAAGTACATACGGCTCTTCAAATTGGCTCATTGAGTCGCTTTTTTTGGAGCCCCTTGAATCGTTCTAGATCCTTTTCCCGTTTCGTTAACCGAAAAGTGGAAAGAAGGTCTTGAGAAAACAGTTTCTTTGCTCCGGAGTTGATTACTTATTTTCGAACCAATACTGATTGTAAAGCGTTTACAGCCGACGTTGTGATTATTTAGTCTCGAAGATGCTAAAGGTGAATTGTGTGCGGTGTTCAGCCTAGCCTTTTGCCTAGACTTAACATACTGTATAAAGAATCTTCGAACTTTTTGTTACCGTTATGAGTTTTTTATAGAGTCGCTAATGCTATCATGTCTAATTTATTACCTGTATTCTTTTTGAATGAGTTCTCCGTTCACAAACACTTTCATAGTTGGATATTTGTTCACATAGTATTTATCGCCGACATCTGCCTCAAAGATTTCAAAGTAAAGACTCGATTCAGCAAAATAAAAGTGGCTTTCAGCTTACCTGCCTAACGCTATCCACAATGGCCCAAACGACGCTAGCCTCTGGGTTTTCTTGCTTAAAGACGCGAGCCGATTCTTCAAATATTGGCTTCAATCGACGTGAAAACGGACACCAATCCGCACAGAATGCAACAAACACCACCTAGAGGTACTTTCAGAATCAAGTAGAGAAACTGCTGCCATGTTAGAAACCCTGCTCAAATGGCTTCCACCAAAAAATAGGTCTAATATCAGTAGCAGTCGCTTTTGACGTTAAAAATTAGCACAAATGTGCTTGGTTTGGTAACTTCTGGGCAATGACTAACAATCAGCCCTTCATCGATACAAATGAGTTTTTCATATATTTCAATGTATGAATAGAAAAGCGATGCTTCCAGCTGCACAGTTCAATTTGACCTCATTTTTTGCCTTTTTCTTGAGATCTTTGTCAATATGGAAAGTTGTTTCAGTCTTTGTCTAGAGTGTTCTCCTCAGACGCTAGAGTTACGAAAAGACCACTTTAGGCTGCAATCTAGGTATAATTTTCGAAAAAAAAAAATGAGCCTGATAAAAAGCATGATAACGGTCTTACAAATTCCACACCAACACTTCTCAAGCCTGTTTTTGAGGGTTTTGGCAAAATAAGTTTTTCTTCTTTATTCTCCATGAGTCATTTCCCATAGGATTAATTTTTCGGTTAACTGAGAAACCGTATAATCGATATGATGCTCATGGAAGTAAATCATGTGCCTATCAAAACGATTCATTTGAGCTGTTAGAACTCAGTTCACACAGTTATATAGGGTGTCGATTTTTCTAATAGACCCGGGGATTTTTGTTGAGCTTTTCTTCCTGAAATACACAACGCCTATTGTTCTTCTAAATCTGGCACGTTACGTGGGCATACGTATAAATGAATCAATCAGTAATTTTGATTTATGTGCTTGTTTTAGCAATTCTTAGAAGAACTCACAACTAATTTCGCTATAATTAGGGAAGCGTATTCTAGGTGTAAAACATGTAAAGTTGGTAGTTGGACCTGCCGTGGGAAATCCAAACTTCATCTTTCCAGGATTGATGAACTGTTGCCAGAAATTGAAAAAAGTCTTGCTCCGATACACACAGATTCAGAACTAAATTTGTTTCGAGAATCCAGAAACACTCTTGTGAAGCGTTTCGAGAACTTCGCGAAACATCAAAGCAGCTTTCAGGAGGAAGACTGATACTCAAGTTGAAATCAAATCCGTTTCAAATTAGAGACTCGAGGGTGAATGATGTCAGATAAAGAACTGAATGTAATATATGTGGTATTCAAGCGATATCCAGTGTTTGATCGAGCACGATAATCATTTTTGAAAATTTATGACATGAGAAAAAAACGTTGATGGTTACCTGAGAGCTGTTGATTACTTGGTCGTGATTTAACATAGACAATTCTATCGAGTTCACACCATCCTGCGCAAAACAGTGCATTGTCAACAACGACAAGTACAGAGCAGCCGACAACTCCCTCATCGTCTGCCACCACCACCTTGATCAGTAAACTGATTAACAATGAGGTCTAACATGATTCAAATGATGAATTTGGATGAGAATTTAGCAATGGATCTTCATTCATACGAAAAAAAAAAACGACACATGCAAACGAACTGATGTAAAAAGTCGTGGTGAGACGAAAAAAATCTCTGCTCTAATAAACAATTCAAAATCAAGGAAAGCATTCTCAGACAGAAGTCACAAAAATTTTCTTTTTAGTAGTATTATGAAGTTACAAATATAGTTTACCTGGAAATGCTAGGTGATGTGTAGAATTTGGAACTTCAAGCAAAAAATGAGCCCACCTTTAACCTGAGACGTCGAGACAGCTTCCATACATTGTATCGCAGAAAGAGTGGTAGCAAGGTAAGGGTCTCGGTACTGTAGTGGCTAGCATGCACCCTTGGTAAGGACGAAGCGCGTGTGCAACTCCAGCTTAGTGTCCACTTTGCATGTCATTTCTGGATGTTCAGTTAAAACATTCTTAGATTCATGGAACTATGACAGCGCCGTTATTTATAACTGGGAAAATTGTGATCCTCATACAATTGGCTAGAAAAGCTTTCTGAAGTGCATGAACTTATCAGTGATCGCGATAGTGAAAAAAACTGCTAAATTCTGATTCCTTATCTTAGAGCATTAATCCATGATACAGTTGCTCATCAGTTGCAAATTACCGATGTTCTTGAAAATATGGAATTCAAAAGAATGCATGTGGCGCAGTGGTTAGAGGTGTTCCGCGTCTCAATTGAGATCAATGGTTCGATATCGCGCTCACGGCTCACCAAGCCATCCATCCTTCCAGAGTCGGTAAATTGATGCCAAGCTGGTCTCAGACTTGCCTGCGAGGATAAACAGCACTGACTCGGTTCAGCGGGAGGCCACCGCGAGCATTGCAAAGCCAGATATGCAGATAATCATTTCAAACAGAGTTAAAAATTGAAGACGAAGCATGGCGCATCCCACAGGAATTGACCAACACCAAGAGCTTGATCCTTTTCATCCTTTAAGACACCTAATGGAGAATTTGGATAATATAATCATATCACACCGATGTATAAGATATTCAAATTATTAAAGTCAGAACCATCTAGCTTCTCATTTTTTGGGGGCCAAGAAAACAGTGACTTTTCTGGCACTCATCTACTCTTATCAGCCACTATGGAAACCCCTAGCGCGGCTATCAGAGGAGTCTAGAGTGTATCGACTCCAGCGACATTCAACGACATCCACAAAGAAGACTAAAATTACTCAGTAAGAAGACAAATCTTCGTGGGCATAAAGATCCTAGCCAACGTTGGATGAGAACAGACGAACTGAACATGAGAACTGATAAAATTAGAACATCGTGTAATTTCAGGTCATTTTAACGCGTTGACAATAAAACCTTTTTGATTTTTCCTTAGCTTTCAATCAATCATTCAACAGCCTAATTATAGCTTCCAGCATTGGCTCAATTTCCTATAAGACCTTATTTTGGTGCTGTAGCAGCAAGAATGAGGATACGTTTGATCTTCAACCCACATTTTTTGCTCGGCCAAGGTCTATGGAT